TTTCCACAGCGGATTTCTCGTCATAACGGATTTTTTTGGTTGGAACCATGAATCCGCTGTGGCGAGGTTTGACTGTACAGGAATTTAATTTTTGAAACTTGCGAAATCTACTATATTTGGAAAAATATAAAATGTACGTTTTAATTCCCTAGGTTTGAATTTATTAATTTTGTCACAAATCACGAATTAAAAAAATACTCGATTTTTATTGACAATAAATTCAATTAAAAAAGTTTGATATATTTCTAAAATTAAAGCTAATATACATATATATAAGAAAGGTTCATGTCAAGATTTTTCAACATTAAAATAATGTGTCCATTTGTTTACTATACAATTGTGCATTGTTATATATTTAATTCTACATAACTATGACAAAGTAAAATAATTGCTTCTACACTTGGTCTTATTATTCCTGAATTACATTTGGGTACTGAAAGTGGGCGAAAATCATTTCCTGTATAGTCAATAGTAACAGTAACAGTAACAGAACTAAATGGTCGGTACGCGTTTTTAAAGGTAGTGAAGATCAGCCATCACTATTGTACTATAATATGATAATTTTTTGACCCAACAATCTATCAAAAACAACCGAATATAAATACAAAATAGCAATATAATTTATATTTTTTAAAAAGTACAATACTATTTAGGAAGTTTTAGTAATGTAATATATAAACATGCTTGGATGAAGTAATTTGTCGTGAATTGTATACAACAAATATCTGATTAATTAAGTCTTGATATCGTATATGCCAATACATACATTATTTGCACAACAATTTAATAATTATAATGCAACTGTGGATCTTAAGTCCATATGTGGTAATAAATCTTTTATTACATCCAAACATCCAAGCACATCACATTTATGATTTTTTATTCCAAAATGAACTCTTTTGAATTACAATTTTGACAAAATCTTTTACACTTCCTGGATATTTACAATTGAAATTTTTTATCTCGAGGTGATGCCTTGTATGATCTAGCAATTCACTATTTTACAAAAAGCCTTTGTACGTCTTGGATATCCACATTTGAAATTTTTTCACCATGAATTTTACTTGTTGGTTAAGTAATGATCTATACTTGAAAATTTTATCAAAATTTGGAACTGTACAAAAAAAACATTTTTATTTTGATCACTACTTCCATTACCATCCTTAATATCAATTTCATTATTGCTATCTTCATTTTCATCAATTTCATTATCATTATTTGAATCATAAAACCACTTTCATTGTTGTTGGTGCTGTAATTATAAATAAAAATTATAATAACATTTAGAGAGTTTGGAAAATTTTTAATTGGAACTTTTATTATTATTATTCATTTTGAAATATGCTTTTTTAAAGACAAAAAAATTATATTTATGATTAGTGTAGTGCACAACATGATTGGATCAATAATCTATCAATAAATCATATATATATCTTGATATCCATCCATACATTCCAATACAACGATTTAAAATTTCTTAATGACATTATCATGCACAAAATTTTAATGAATTTTATCATGGATCCTGAGTTCATATTTGGTAACAAATCTTTTGTCGCATCCAGGTACATCACATCCATGATTTTTTATTCCAAGATGACGTCTTGTATGTACTAGTAAATCACCTTTTTGACAAAATGATATTGCACATCCCGGATATTCACATTTAAAATTCTTTATTCCAAGATGATATTTTGTATGTACTTTTAATTCAAAATTTTGACAAAAAGCTTTTGCACATCCTGGATATTCACATTTGAAATTTTTTATTCCATGACAATTCGTGTGTCTTAGTAAACTATCTTTTCCATAAAAAGCTTTTACGCATCCTGGATATTCACATTTGAAATTTTTTATTCCAAGATGAGTTTTTGTGTGTTTTAGTAAATTACTTTTTTGAGAAAATGTTTTTGCACATCTTGGATATTCACATTTGAAATCTTTTTTATGAATTTTACTGTGTCGGTTAAGTAAAGACCCATTCTTGAAAGATTTTCCACAATTTGGAACTGTACAAAAAAATTCATTGTTATTTTTATTATTATTTTCAATGTCATCTTTATTATCAAATTCATTATCACTATCTTCTTCTTCTTCTTCTTCATAAATTTCAATTTCAATATCTCCATTTTCAACAATTTTACTATCACTATTTGAATCATTTTCACCTACATTATCATTATTATTTTCATTGTTGTTGGTGCTGTAATTATAATTATGATAATTTTCTAGGATTTTTTTGATTTTATCATCATCATTATTAATATACACCCAACAATCTATTAAACAACCAAATATAAATACAAATAAATAAAAATAATAATACAATTAACTTTGTACGTTTTAAAAAGTATAATACCGTTTAGAGAATTTTTAATAATTGTAATTTTTTTATTGTTATTATTCATATTGAAATAAAAAGAAAAAAATTATCTGTGTAATACAAAATTTAATATTTCGATGGAATCCAATCATATTTTCATCCACACTTACTATCGCATGTGGTAAGGTAAGGCCTTGAATTTTGTGAACTGTAAGTGCGAAGGAATTTTGCAAGAGGTGTTAGTTTCTAGAGGCTGGAATTGCAAGTTTCCCACTACCAATGAGATTTTGTTTTTTTTTGAATTCCTCGAATTATTAAAGATTTAAATTTGTATGAATCAAACTCATCATCACTAATCCAATAAATCAACATTTCCTTCCTGTTGTATATTTTTCATTAACATTAATCTCTCAGTAAAGGTTGAAGATTTTTTTTAATTAATAAAAATGAAAGAAAAGCAATACGCAATCTAATTTTCACATACTCAATGGATTTCATTCTCATACACACCACTATTTAATAAAAAATAGGAATTCTCTTCCCTCACATTAAACAAATTTTAGTATTTAATGAAGATAATGATTATGATAATGACAATGACAGCGAGATATTAACTGGGTAGTGTACATATATATTTGATACTGTTCTGAATGGATGTGTAATGAAAGAACTTTGTTAAATAACTTGCAGATTGGTTAAATAACTAACCGGTTATTTAACCAATTAACGACTCAAAAGTTCAAATAGTTCAAAAACAGATTTGAGCCAGTTAAATTGCCATGAAATGTGTGTTTGATCACCAAAGTACTAAATTTGGGAATCTGCTATATGGTATAGGATTTTCATCAATTACGTCACTCGTGAAAATATTTTTCTTTGTATTTGGAATTTTTGTAATGGAGGCTTCTAACAAAAATTTAAAATTTGAGACAGCAATAAAAGATTTAAAAGTAGAATTTTCTAAAGCAGTGACTGGTATAATAAATTATTTTCTGTTTGTAAATGAAATATCTGCAAAAAAAAAAATTTAATAATCATATTACCAATATTATTTATATTTAGAACTAGAATTTATTGAAGCAATGCTGGATTCAGAAATAATTCGTAAATATGAAATTGAACATAAAGCGCCAATAAATCCGTCTAAAGCTTTAAATAAAATTACAAGATTAAAGAATGAACTGGAATCTTTAAAAAATGATTTTAAATGCGTGATGATTTCTAAACAGGTTTATTTATTTATATTATTTGATTTATGGATGGTTGTGGATGAATTCTTTTTATTAATTTGCAATTATTTTTTGGTTCTTTTTAAGGAAATTAATCATGATTTATATCAACAATTATGTATAAATAAAGAATTATTGGAGAAACTGCAACAAAAAGCTGGTATATCTAACAATATTGATGGATAATATTGGATAATAATATTTTTGTTGAAACTTGCCTTGTGATTAATCAAATCAAATCCCATAAAATATTTTTAATATATTCAAATCATTTTATCTAATTAACTTCCTGCAAAATAGCATTCATCTTGATGAGCATTATCATGATCATACTATTAACGATCATGTTGCTGTTGCTGTACTTATTCTTCCTCACAGTACATATATAAAAAAAATAATTAAAATTTATAGATTCTAGATCAAATCATCATTCTTCCTTCCTTCTTCACAACCCCCAAGCCATTGATAATTATATCACAATTGTTGACAAATTTTTTTTTTATCTCAATTAGCAATTACTTTGAACATTTTGTAACAAGTCATATTGGTTAGAAATTCAATGTTTGTCAAAGTAAAATTACCTGAGACATATCTGGTGGCAATAATAGCACTGTAAAATTAAAAATTAGAACCATTTATGGTGCCTTTGCATCCTATTTATTCCTACCAGTTTTCCTTTATTACATCTTTCCCAATTGAATGTTATATATATTTTTGTGAACCAATTCCAATTCTAAGTCATCTTCCATCAAGTTAATATTTTGATACCAGTCAGTCACTAATCTTTGAAGCCATGATAAGTCTGCATATGTTAATAAGTATGGTGAATATATTGGCCTTATATGTAAATTGCCATCCAATTATTGATTTATTTCATTAACAAGTTATAATTACTGATTTTCCACTTAAGGTTTCTTTTAATTCACATTGCTCATCAATCCAATGGCATGTAATTCTAAGAAATGGGATCATGTTTGCTATAAAATACTGCAAATAGTCTATGTAACTTCTTGTCCAGAGATACTGATGGACTTCCTTGATGTATATGATTTAATATTTTTCCATTATAAAAGGTTTTCGCCTATTCAATGAGGCTGTTTGTAACAGAATAACAAAATGTGACAATTCTTAGCAAAAATATTTTCATCAAGGAATATTTCAGAACCTGCAAGGATTGTAATATAAACTCTCTCTTGTGGACATTTGTGGTGTTGTTGTTGTATTGGTAACAATATTTTTAAAATAAAAAAAGTTTTTTTTTGAAAAACTGTAACAAAGTTGAGAAGGCAAGTTTGATAGTTCACTGCCTTTTTATTTGAAGGAAACAAGGGTCAAAGATCCAACATAAATTGCTGAAGTCAAATCAATAAAATATAGTACATATAACTTGTTAAGTACCATGTTTACACTTATTATCTTGATCTACTAAATCTGTTGCTTCATAATAATAATAGAAATTTGTATATAATTTTTGATCAGTCTGATAAAAACCCGTGTATAAGAGGACCTGAAGTTCATAATAATAATTAAACAATTTTTATAAGAGAATTGTTCAAATTATTCTGTTTATTTAGTTTGATCCACTCGGTTTATTTATTACCATCAATTATTTCGTTAATTGGTGGCAAGGTTAAAACCTGATATCCAGCTAGTTTTTAGGGAGGATTTCATGACCAATAAAAAGTTGCGGGAATAAGTGACCTCAAGGGTTACACCCATAATGTATTTTAATCAATGTGGCTTTCGACTTATATTTTTTATTCTTTTAAAAAAATCGTTCTAGTTATCAAATTGGTCAATTGAGTTCGATTAATTAATTGCTTGTTATAGATTTTTCATGTTACATAAATTAAATTTAACAAATTTTTAAAAAAATAAAAAAATGAGTAAAGAAACTATTGCATATAAATTCTGGCATGAATTTCAGGAGGAAAGATCTGGTAGAAAAATTAATTAAAAAAAAGAAAGAATGCTGTTTATAACTAAATAAATTTATCTAAAAAGTATTATTATTATTTGATATTATTCGACATTCCAAGAGATTCAAAATTCCATCAAGGAATTATCAAAAAAACCAAAGCCATCAATTCCTACATTATGTGAAAATTTGCTACAACGGATAGATGAACTTGAAAAGAAAGCTACAGACGCAACTACATTTTTACCAGCTTATGATCAAAGACAATCTCATTTGGTAAATAAGAAGACTTATTATTGTTATTATTGTTATTAATTATTAATTATTGCATCATAAACTTCTATTTCATTTCAAATCAGCAAATCAAATCATTAATAGAAGAACTCAATATACAAAAGTCTTTATTGGCACCAAAAAGTAAATTTTCTTTTAAATCAAAAAAAGCAGCAATAGAATCAAAGAGCTCTTTAAATGAAGAAAAATCAGCATCCACTGCTGCAATCTCTACTTCTACCACTACCACCTCTACTGATACTGATGCAACTACTAAAGTTATTGATGAAGACAATTTTCAAACTGTTGTATTAAATAATCAAGAAAATACTTATATTGATATTAATTCATTTTCGCTAAATAATAAAATGGTTGATTTCCAATTTTCCAATTTAAATAATTGTATTATAAATCTCTTTAATTCTAATATAACAATCGGTGCCATCAATATTAAAGGATTAAGAAATACTATTATAATGTCAGGTCCAGTTGGAAGTTCAATATTAATTTATGATTGTGAAAAATGTATTTTTTTGGTTGGGTGTCATCAGGTAATAATAACAATAGTATTAATAAGAATAGTATTATATTATTATCACTATTAAGTTAATATTTGGTTTCTTTAATTAGTTTCGTATGCACACGTCAAAGCAAATTTCAGTATATCTTCATGTTACAAGTAATCCGATAATTGAAGATTGTGAAAAAATTCAGTTTGGATTTTATGCATTAACAACATTCCCTGAATTAGATAAAATGTTTGAGGTAAATAAATTTTATAATAAATGGTATAATATATATATACTTAATTATATATAATTAATTAAATTTATTTATTAAAATTAATCCCCCTTCCTCCCTTTTTTCTTAGACAGTAAAATTAGATTTGAAAATTAATAAATATGATAAAGTTGATGATTTTAATTGGTTGAAACAACAAGCTTCTCCAAATTGGAAAATCATTTCACCAGAGCATATAATAGAAAAATGGCCTTTAGTTAATAATGATAACAATATAAATGTTGTAGAGACTATTGAAAATCTTTTAAAATCTCAAGAATATTAAATCAAAGATTATTTAGCATTGTTATTGCTATTGTTATTATTATCTTATAAAAAAAAAGTTCATATTTTGAAAATAAATTTTATTATTATTACTGCATCAAAATCATTCATATCAATGGTAACATCTTGAGAATTAACCATCATAATCTCATTATGACTCCTCAGGTCATCCATCAATTGGTTGGTTCTTATTATTATCAACTCATTAGTTTAGATATAGGAGAAAGTTCAAACTTGTAATAAATGATAATCATGCATCTTATCTGATATGTATAAATTGCGATTTACTCTAAATCAGGGATCAGTGTTCGAAATTTGACTGCATCTTAACATAAAACTATATAGAAATTAAAATTTCCAGACTGCATGGTTCTGACGAACACTGATCAGGATCAGGGACACACAGAGTGCCACAGAAATCACGGAAAGCACAGGACCCGACAACTACATACATAGATAGGTTACCCTAATATAATGAATTTACCCAAAATCTTATTGGCTAAGTGACATCCTTAACATAAATAGACTAATTCATCGACAGCAAAGATGATCAATGGCGATTCTTACTCTTAATAGTAAGATCGTTAACCTTTATTATTATTTACCAAAAAAAAATGTAACCTATTTATGTAACATGATAATCAAAAGTTTTTTTTTATGCGACCAGGATTCTAGTAATTTTTGTGACCATTTTGTTGATTGAATACGAAAGTTGACAGTCGATGGCCATCTTAATAATAAAACACATAAAGCTAATAAACATTATAAACATCAACATCAATGTCAACGTCGACTTCAATAAACACTTTACCTCTCTTTTTCCTTCTGAGTCTAAAAAAGCTATAATTCATGATTTAATTGAAGCCTTTGCTATAGCATTTTTGAAGTGCCCATGAAAAGTTTGCAAGCACATATCCTTCTCGTCTTGGATGTCCTCTTTTTCATGCCTGTCAAATTTTTGATCCAAATTTTATTTGTTTAATGATATAATTTCAAGAATTAAATGACTCATCTAATATTTTATTAGATGAATGGGCAATTTATTGTGGATCCACGTTTGATATAAATTTTGGACATTAGTTTAGATGAATACTGGTTAAATATGGCCGGAAATTTACCCAATCTATCTCAAATAGCATTGGACCGTATATGGTTACCAATTTCTTCTTGTAGTGTGGAACGAAATTTTTCTAAATACGATTTTTTGGCAGAATTTATCTGAAGAGTCTTTAAATATGCTTTATTATTAATGGCAGTTTAAATGTTTTACAAATAATTAAAATTATAATGGAGAATTACTGCAGAATGCATAGATATTATAACGAATTGTGCAGAATATAGTGTTTTTTAATATTAATATTAATGCACTTTTAGCAATCCACTTCATCGCCGCAGAAAATCATCGTCCCTGGTCAGGATGACAATAAATTGGTCATATAATAAAAAATTATCGTAAAAATGAGTCACCAAATTTTTAAATAAATAAAAAATAAATAAATCGGTAGAAAATTTTATCAAAACCAATTTTTTTCAATTGTTTTTTAGAAAAAATTTTAAAATTAAAAAAAAGAAACAATGTTTTCAAAAAGTTTTCATAATATAACAACTAAAAAATTCATAAATTTACCCTTAAAAAATGCTATTATACCCACCATAACAAGCTCTTCAATAGTTAATCATCGTAATCGTCGATTTTTTGCCAGTCAAGTCAATAATGCAAATAAAGAAAAATTGATAATTTTTGACACAACTTTACGTGATGGTGAACAGGTAGGTATAGATAAAAAGAAGAAAAAAATGTTTTATCAACTTGTTATTAATAAAAAAAATTTATATACAGTCACCAGGTGTTACTTTTACTACAGAAGAAAAAATTGATATTGCTAAACATTTATCAAGTCTTGGCGTTGATGTTATTGAAGCTGGTTTTCCGGTTGCTTCACCAGGAGATTTTGAAGCAGTTGCTCGGATAGCAAAAGAAGTTGGTCCATTAATGCAAGGTCGAGAGAATATCGGAAAACCAGTGGTAAGTAGTTATTATTGTCGTAGTTGTGTTTTATGAAGATATTTATCATGCTTGATATTATGCTTATATACGAATAATAATAGACGATCACTGGACTTGCGCGTGCAAAAGAAAAGGATATTAAACGATGTTATGATGCAGTGTCACAATCACCTTTACATAGAATACATACTTTCCTTGCAACATCCGATATACATTTAAAATATAAATTGAAAATCGATAGAGAAGAATGTATAAAACGTGCATCAGAAGCCGTAAAATATGCAAAAAGTCTTTGTGAAGAAGTTGAATTTAGTGCCGAAGATGGTGGTAGAAGTGATAAAGAATTTTTATGTAAATTGTTGAGTAAGGTTATCGAGTCAGGCGCAACTATCTTAAATATTCCTGATACAGTTGGTTATACTAGTCCTGAAGAATATGGCGCATTAATTAGATATCTGATTGAAAACACTCCTGGTTCAGATAAGGTAAATCTAATTAATAACAACAACAATTATATTTATTTCCGATTTTTTGCTATTAATAATTAATTATATATATAGGCTATATGGTCAACGCATTGTCATGACGATTTAGGTCTAGCTACTGCTAACACTTTATCAGGAGTCCTTAATGGTGCAAGACAAGTTGAAGTGTCTATTAATGGCATTGGTGAACGTGCAGGTATATGTTTATACAATTTGATATATATAAGAGAATAAAAAAATCAATTATAACAATCATCTAATTATTGATTCAATACTTCAATACTTTTTTTTTTTTAAAAAAAAGGTAACACTTCACTTGAAGAAGTAGCAATGAATATACGTACACATCCAGACTTTTATCCGGTTTATCATTCAATAAACACACAACAAATTTATCGTATATCAACTCTAGTCTCATCTCATTCCGGAATGTTAGTGCAACCCAATAAAGCAATAGTTGGAGCAAATGCATTTCTTCACGAATCTGGAATCCATCAAGACGGTGTTCTCAAAAATAAGTCAACGTATGAAATTATTAAACCGGAAGATGTTGGTGTGTCTGATGTGAAATTAGTGTTGGGTAAATTGTCAGGACGTAATGCTTTTCGATCACGTATTGATGAATTAGGATATGGTGACATGAGCGAAGAGAAAATTAATGATGCATTTGAACGTTTTAAAGTATTGGCTGATTCGAAAAAAAGAATTACAGAAGACGATCTTTATGCTTTGTTGTCGGATCAAATTTCCGCAGGAACAGCTCCCGAGTCACAACGATTCAAGTTACAATCTATTCAGGTAGTTTCAGGAACCGCAGAAATGGCAACAGCCACAGTCAAATTGATAGACACATTGGCAGGTGATGATGGTAATAAAGAGTTAATAGATGCAGCTATTGGACGAACTGGGCCAATAATGGCTGTATTTGGTGCCATTCAACGTTTAGTTCAACGAAAAATTAGATTGTTACATTATGAAGTTCGTGCAGTATCAGAAGGTATGGACGCTTTGGGAAAAGTAGTAGTTAAAGTAACTGAAGATGTTGATTCATCGGGATTAGATGAAACAACAAATTTAACAACAAAAACAGAGATGGGTGGCGTTGTTAATCCTAATAAAACATATCTAGGTCGTGGAACTGATGTAGACGTGGTCACAGCTAGTGCCAGGGCTTATGTGAATGCCATTAATCGAATGTTTGAAGGAGAACTTATTTCTGATAAAAGAAGAAGTTATTTGGAAGAAAGGAAAGCAAATTTATAAAATTAATTTTATTTCTAATGAAAAATATTAAAGTTAAATTTTTATTTAAAAGTAATTTACCATTTTAATTATAAAATAAAGAAATGATTTATCACTTTTATATCTATCGTTATTACTATATATATCCCAAGGCAAGATTGATTTTAGATATATTAAATTCACATGATGTAACTTTTTTTACTCATTGTATTACGTCCTACCGTGCTTGTTCAACTAATTACTAATACTATTGATTGGTAAACTGGATAAACTGACCATCATATAATATATCAGCTTCATCATCTATACTCATGGAATTATTTATTTGCTTGATTTTTGTAAATTAAAACATCAAAAAAAAAAAGTAATAATAAGAAAAATTACTATCAGAACGCCTGTTACAGTATCTTGAGTACTTGGATAAATTTTGATCGCATATAAATCCTTCGGTAGAAGGTGGTGCCGAATGATGTTCGATTAATTGGGCGTTTAGAATTTTTTCATTGTAATTGATTAATTATAATCGGGTGTTGAAACTTTTCACCATGGCACAGAATATAAAAAAAAAATTTTCCACGTAATTATGAATTTTTTTTTAATATATGTACAGTAAGTAAATACTTATTTTATTACACTATCACCAACATTTTTTCTATTATTAATTAATAAAAAATCTTCAATAATATTCAAGTAAAGGAAATTGGGGCAGTCATCTTAGATGTTTTTGTATTTGCGTCATGTTTTTGATTTTAAGATTCAAAATGGCGGATTTTAATAAATTTTAAGATTTTTTTGTTTTGTTTAAATTTATAACTTATGGTTCAATAAATTTTAATGTTAGATTGATAAAATCTATAAATTTCTAATATGGAAGAAACATATTACACTTTTGCACATTTAAAATACAATCCACATCGGAGAATCCAGGTATTAAATGATATTAGTTTATTATAAATTTTTCTTGTTATAGAAAATTTAATTATTGCAACATTTTGCGAATTCAATGTAAACACTATTAAAATTTGCTTTGGTGGACCCTTCAAAGTACTCGCATTAACTTAAATATTTCTATTTAATGAATTCCTCATCTTATATTTTGGCAAGAAGACCCTCTTTCACAATCTTCATTTTTCCTTTAGCGAACATTCCATTCTATGTATTATTTGTGCCTCTGTTCACTACGGAGAGATTTTATCAAGATGTTTGTTATAAAAAGAAATTAATTATAAAAAATGAATTAAAAAGCTTATTATAGTGTGACTTAGTGTTCGCTACGGAAATATCCTCTACAGAGTATGAACTGCCCGTTTTAATTGTCTATTATGAAAAATGACATCCGAAAATTCCAGCCAGAATTTTGTGCACTGGGCATTCCGTGTTGAAATCACTCGCAATACCCACAATACTAATATGTACAACGGTCTTTCATTGATAAAAATCTCCCAAAGATTCATTGTACTATGTTTTCTGGATTTGGTAAAGGTGATAATAGACAATTTAAAAACTTTTATAATTGTTTATTTCTATGAAATGCCACAAAATTATATTGTTAAAGCATATAAAATTTAATAAAAATTTATAAAGTTTATATTAAGTAAAAGCTGTGGTTCCAAAACATCTAGAAAACTTTAAAACCATGACCATATTTTTAGTTGACCTATCTACTATAATTTCTATGTATAGTTAATTATTTTGAAAGACTGCATTCTCAATACTTTTTTTTGTTCTATTATTTTAATTGTTAATTATATTTTTTATGCATATTTTAAAATAATACAATAAAAAGATAAAGATCTGTTATTATGTCTGTAATGTTTAATGAATCATACATAGTAGTAGGCCCTTCAAGAGAAAAGATTATTAAGACTCAAGGTGATAGATGAATTATAGGTCCATCAACTAGCTAGAGTAATTGGATCATTCATTAATGATTACTGATTGTATTTTCTGTCTTTGTCATTATACAAAAGAGTAATAAACTTCAATTGGGACAAAAAGAGAAGTTCGTAATTATTATAGCAATAGTTTGATTTACATAGCATTTACTAATAGTTAGTTGTAGAAAACAAACTGTAAAAATTTTTCACCTTAAATAATTTTAATAATAATAGTAACTTTTATTTTTTTGTAATTGATGGATAATAATATTAATTTAATTTAAACAAATGTAATGAAATGTTTATTATTATTTTGCTTTAATAAAAAAATCCTATAAATAAAATCCATAATAATTATAAGATATATTGGTAAAAAATCAAAGAAAAAAGGGAGAAAAGAAAAAAAGTATATTTACCAAGAATTTTACCACCAGTGTGCTTTCTTCTTGCCTCATGGTGATCCATAATACCAGCACTAGTAGTCAACACTATGTACCAAAAAAAAAAAGTAAATATTGTCAACAAAATATATGAAAACACACCAAAAAAACTTTTCAATCATTTTTATTATTATTATATTTATACTTGCCTAAAAAACCAAATTGACGAGATGGTAATAAATTATTAACCCATTTTTCAATATCATCTATTTTTGTATTGAAACGTGGTGAAATGACACCACATTTGTTTAAGCGACCATTTAATTGAATTACAATTTTTCCTGAACGATGATCATCGATCACTTCAAATTCGTCAATATATTCTTTAATATATATATATATAGAGAAAGAGGTATGTGTGTGAGTGTATTTTATATATATATATATATTTTTTAGTGGTGGTATAATTGTAATTAGTATATACATCATCAAACACACTATATATGATAATTGATTTAATTACCATGTTTTTGCATTACACGCAAGAACTTAATGACCACTTTTGATGATGGACGAACTAATACTTGACGTTTGCCACGTTTTTCAGCATTAACAATGTTATTAAGACAATCATTCTATTATTAATAATAATAAAAAATTTATTAATTTTATTTTAAAACCCCATTCATCAGCATTACTAACCCATTACTATCATCAATATATTAATTTATTATATACATACCAAAACTGAAATTCTAACCATTTTGATTATCTATTTTTTTTTATTTTTTATTTGATATGATTTCAACAACACAGTCTTTTTTACCTAAAGTAAAATAAAGAAATAAAAGCCATAATGAGTGTCGCTCTCTATTTTTCAAATCAAAGAGCGATTCAAAAAGCTTTGTTTTATAAAAAAATTTTGTTTTGCAATTAATTAACTATCAATTCAAATTTTTGAATTGTGAATATAAATTTTTACTTTTTCTTCTCCAATAATCGAAATAAGAATTTTTTTGCAAAAAAAAAAAAAAAAAAATAGATTTATTCTTTTCAAATCCAACCAATTATATTATACGGTACAGATCATCTATAATAGGGTTTCTATTCGTAATACAAATTTTTATTCGAATTATTCGTAATACAGTTGACCTTTAATTCGAATTAATTATTTGAATTAAAAAGTTTATTCGAATTAAAAAATTTATTCGAATTAATTTTCTTATTCGAATACTCAAATTCATAACGAATAAAGTGAATAATTCGAATAAACCTTATTCAAATAGAACCCTAATCTATAATCAGTTAATTGCTTATCAAAATACTAAAACAAAAAAATTTTATATCATTTTAAAAAAGTTAACTAATAAGTTTTATTTTTCATGACTCAAGCTTCAAAACTTATCGGCTAGTTTTTTCTTAAACTAAAAATTGGCATTTTGAAAATTCAAATTTTTGTTATATGTTTAAGTAATT